TCCGCCTCAGGCGACAAGACGGTGCGGGTGTGGGAGGCGGCCACGGGGTCGTGCCGCAGCGTGCTCTTCTCGCCAGACGGCCAGTATATCCAGACAAATTGCGGTGATATTCGCTTGCATGTTCCTACTACGCCATCGCCCTCGTCCCAAAGAGCGCAGCCGTCTCATGTCTTTGTACAAGACCGGTGGATTTCTTTGAACCAACAGCGGTTGCTATGGCTTCCTTCTGAATATCGACCGACTTGCGCTACAGTCAACAGAAACGCAGTCTTTTTAGGGCATTCTTCAGGTCGTACTACATTCCTTGAATTTCGTACATAGGCCTTGTACACACTCTCTTTATCTTATTATATATTTCTTTTCTAATCTCTATTTCATAGAGGGGGCCGGGGAGCAGCAAGTATTTATCTTTTAAGAGGGACATCCAGAATCTTCTATGCTTATTAATATAACTTCTTTGACCATGAACGTGGCGACAGAAAACACACGAGACACATATGGCAATGCACAGAGCCTAGCAGCTAAAAATAGTCAACACGTGACTATTTATAGACGCATCTAGAAGAGTGCCACACACTTAGGTACGGGATTGAATACAATACAAATTGCTCATCATCTAGCGTATTATTATGTAAACACGCTAATTCCTCATGCCAAGACATCCTCAAGGCTACCTTGCACGGATAAATTCGGAGCGCATGTTCCTAATGGCTAAGCTTCTTTAAATTGTAGAACTATCTTCTCTTGTAATAGAACTATCATTTACGTACTCCAAAATTTGAAAAGGTGTTAAAAGCTGTCGTGCAGCAGGGGTGCAAACCTAAAATCGATCTAGACGTCGTGAACGGAACGATCAACGGCATGACCAAAACCATCGTATTTTTCGTACTGCAGACTGGTTCCTAGAAGGACAGTATCCCAAGAAAAATAATACACTGACTATGGCTTGATAGAGTCGCGAGGAAAAGAGTTAGGATGCTTGAACAATAGGTTTATCTCGGCGCAGGGTGTTTCTCGACCCGCAGTGAGGGACGTTTATGTAATTAGCTCGGCTTGAAGATCACAGAGTGGCGTGCCCTGCACCACAAATGCGTACTGTTCCCGGTGAGTGTTTTTTTGGAACTGGGCGGCTCCCAGGGACTTCAATGTTAGCAGCGAGTAAAGCCGGCTGACTACCGGCGGCGACACCCATAAGGCAAACCCTTAACACTGTGGGGACCAGATTTGGAACTGTAATCTGAAAACTAAGGTGCGTCCCTAGGTGGCGAGAAACCCCCCGTGCCGAGAAAAATATATCGTTTAAGCATCTTAAGTCTTTCCGCGTGGGCCTATAAAGTCATAGCCAATACATTAATATTCTTTAAGCATTTCTCCGTAGGAAGCCAGTCTGCAACTAGAAAAATACAACAATCTTGCTTATGTTGTTGATCGTTCCGTTCACGGCGTCTAGAACTATATCAGCGTTGCACCCCTACTCCACCACGACTGTTTATGTACTTTTAGATTTCGGAGCCTTAGGACAATAACTCTATTAAGAAAGAAGATTATCTCCGAACTTTAAAGACCCTCCGCACTGAAAGGCATGCATAATAAAGTTTCTCCGTGCGAAGGATTGCTTAGTGTCTTAGCGCGCGCATTTAGCGCGCTTACGTAGTAGAGTATTATACATTTAGCTAAATAAATTATATCTTACGCTATACTAAACTAACTTAAAGTGTGGCGTGTGGCGTGTGGCGTTATCGTCGAAACTTTCTTTGGACGGTCACGTGTTGGTTATTTTTAGCGCGATTCATTGTTGGCTTCGTGGCCTCTTACGTTTAGCCTCGTGGCCTCTCACGTTGGCATCGTGGCCTCTCACGCGTCCCATTTCCTTATAACTATCGCTAATACGGACCGAGCCAGCCAGGTGCTGGTGCAACTCTCCATCCAGACCTGTCTAGGACACACGCTACTCTAGCAGAACGGGGCGATGTTCCTCTCTCTACGCTCCATCATCGTGACAAGGGACGACGCCCAATAGAGGGAAATGCCTGAAGCCAGCAATACCTCACCCCAGAGGAAGGATCGATGGGAGATCGCTACAATCCAAAAATGATCCATGGATATCTCAGGAGTCGTCTTTTATATTTAAACACACTCATGTCGACTGTATCAAGCACTGTGTGAGCACGAGACCCGACCCGTTACACATGTGAGGGCCTAGACCCGAACGGGCAGGCAGATTGCAGCCTCGCAAGTGCTATCTACTGTATAGGTGGCTTAGCACCTAACATAGGGCTGCTACCTTAAGCCGAGTTTTCTGAACAGCCTATGACGTTTTCCATTTCCCGCATTCCCTTTAATCATTGAATGCGACGTTCGCTCCTCCCGATTTTGCCGTGAATCCTCCTGGTCGACTACGGGGATATTTTCCTTAGATTCTCCCGCAGACTCTGACAGTATGGATGGTCATTTCCGACGACTTTTACGTATCCTACTAGGGCTTTCGAGTACATTATCCTAGCCTTAGCTAAATGACCTTGACTTTGGAAGACCGAACCAAGGCCCCAGTTTGTGTTCAGTGCTGGGGCGTAAGTGGTAACATTTTCTGGACCGAGTGCCTTCTCGTATCCTTGCAGCGCTCGCTCGTACATCTTCTCTGCCTCGCCCAGCTTGCCCTGGTCCGCGTAGAGAAGGCCCAAGTTCCCCACCGTGTCGAGTGTCGATGTGTGCTCTGCCCCGAGTGCCTTCTCCTTTCCTTGCAGCGCTCGCTCGTACATCTTCTCTGCCTCGCCCAGCTTGCTCTGGTCCGCGTACAGCATTCCCAGCCCGTGAACTGCACCCAGCATTACACTATCCTCATAAATGTTCGCTCTGTTTGCGTCAGTCCCTCCTAATCTAGCTAGGCCCCTGTTGCTCACCTTATGACCCATTGAAAGCACCGCTGCGAATGGCCCAAGAGCCGACGTTGCCCCATCGCGTGCTGCTTCTCTAACCTGCCCGGCACTGCCCACCCGACTACCACCACTGCTAGCTGCGTAAACACCGCCCGCTGCGCCTCGTCCTGCATATAAAACGCCCATTGGTGCACCACCGGGTGAGTTGTATAGCTCGCCAGGTCATGCACATCCTCTACTAGAGAGTAGCTGCGCAATAGCCGAACCGCCACAAGAAATTCGACCTTATTACTTGCTATGTTAGAGAGCCACTCTAATATATAATCCGCCACGTCTGCGGACCGCTTGCTTGCTTTGCTAAGGAGACCGTACTATACGTCTTTATTATCCAGATACGCCCAAAGCAGGAGCAGGTGAGCTGCCGCCATGCTCTTAGCCCGGATTGTATAGTACAAAATTGTCTATATTATCCAAACACTATATTCAGGGTAGTTATAAAGTAGTATACCAATTTAGTCTTGCAATTCTATAAGGCCTTTCTATTGCTGCTTATAGAGCTTAATATATTTCCTAACGCCGACTCTGCTCTACTGCAGATAGGAGGCAGCCTAAGCAACAGCTAGCGGCAGGCCGTTAAGAAGCGTTAGCAGCGCCTTGCTCTCGACTGTATCTATACCTAATAGTTAGAGTTGCGCACACGCAATATAAATTATATTACAGCTCGGGTGCCTTACTATAACTACTACTATACTATTACCGGAATATAGTCTATGCTTAGTTATTGCTAAGCTTACCTAGCTTCCGCGACTTACCGAGTTGCTCTAAGTTAGCAAGCCGACTTATAATTAGCACTAATCTGTGGTCTGCTCCGGAGAGATACCGGGTAATATTATATGCGTTAGGGTTAGTATTGCACCTTTTGCTATCTCGGTTAATATTATTAAAGACTATTAGCTAGTTAGTATTATCTAGCAGGCTTAGCTAGCCCTCTATATTCCTAATTATAGTATTAATATTGCTATCACCCGTAGCTAAGTACGCCCTACTGCTCTCTGCAATCTGTTTTTCTAGAATCCTGCTAGTATAAGTTATAATACTCTATTTAAGGCTATTTTCCGTTCTGCTATTAAGCTAGAATACTAAGCTAAACTTCCGGCAGTGCCTTTTTATAAACTTAATAGTAAGCTATATCTTACCTATTCCGCTAAAACTATATAATATAAATACCTTTTTATAGCAGCACTTTCTCTATAGGAAAAGGGCTTACTTAAGCTTAGCTATATTAGAGGGCCGGTCTATAAACTTATTTACTATAAGCACACCTTATAGACTAAACAGTGTTTAGTAGCTTCCTATATTTTTAAAGGATTTTAGTTAGCTATAGACTATAGACTATATATTAATAGGCTAAATAAAATACTAATATCCTTTTCCGGATATATTATCTATATAAGCTTTTATCTGCTTAAACACTACCTGCAACTTTATATATTAATCTATAGCTATAATAATTGTATTTTTCCGCTTTAAGTCTTCTAATCTAATATTCTCTAGTTTTTTTAATATATTAAACTAATAGTACCGTCCTGTATTATTAAGCCCTAACTTATTATAGAAAAATTACTCTACTATCTTTTCCGTCTCTATAGCAATTGCTAGAAGACTCTAGCTAATACTAACTAGATTATCCTTAAATAGTATAAAAGATAGAACCCTGGTCCTAATTAATACTAAATACTTAATTTTATCTTTAAGCGAGCTAGATAGCTATAGGTCTTAAGCCTTATTCTATACCTTATACACCGGGTTATTTGCCCCTATAGCCCTATTAATAAAGCCCTTTTTAAAGTTGCTAATTATAATAGAATTAAAGAAGGACGAGGCTGCTAATATTATACGGCCTGCTTTCTATATCTTAGTTATGCAAAGCAGTCGTTTACGCCCGTATAGCGAGCGGTAGCTAGTAAGCCGTACTATATTGCCTGTCTCCTCGCTTATTATATAGATAAACCTATATTATACTAGTTAGTATAGCTATAACCTGTTATATATATAGGCCTATACTTATACTTTATACTTTACGTTTATATTATCCTTTAATAGCACGTCCTCTATTAAACTTTACCTTGTAATAATCTCTTTAATTGCGCGCTTTAGCTTAGTTAAGTTAAATTATTCCTGGACGTTGCCTTTAATTATTACTTAGTATCTCTGCTTCTAAAATATATAGTTAGATAGCAAGATATATATATTTATATACTTATTAACTATTATCTAAAGTTAGCTAAGTATAATTATAAAAAAACTATAGTAGTTAGCTAGATATCTAGTATATTTAACTATACTGCTAATAAACCCGCTAGTGCTAGTGCCGCTAATTATATTAAAGTAGTTATATAGCTTTAGCGGCAATTCTAGATTAATAACTGCTATAAGCTGCTTTAAGATCTAAAGTATTAAAAGGCCTTAAACACCTCCTCTATTAAGGGCTAGAAGGCAGAGCTTATAGTCCGGTATAGCGGTAGAATAAGTTAAATAGTAGGTTTAGTAAACTTGCAAAGGTTAGTAATAAAAAGGATAGCAGCAAAGTAATAGCTCTATAGAGCTGGCTTTATTTTATAGAAGCGCCGGTCTATTTTTAGCTAAATAAGGCTAAGAAGCCAGGCGGAGCTGGCCTCTAGTTATTAGCCTTTAGAAGGGAGAAAGCTGCAGATGCTGGCGAGCGTAAGCGGCTGCGTTATACGCTTAAAGTATAGAGCTATATTCTGCCAACGTCCGCATTAGAGCTACCCGGAAGCTGTTTAGCTAGGATAATTAGCGGCACTTTCAGGCAGTAAATTAGGGCTTAAAAGTCTTAGTGCTTTGCGTGGGCTAGCAGGGAGAGCGGCCGGCCCGTTCCGGCTATACCCTTATTAACTTAAGCTATAGTAACTTAGAAAAGTACTTATCTATAGCAAATTATATATATAGGCTAATAGTACCGGATATATAAGGTTAGGTGTTAAGGCTTCCGCTTATAGGTGGGTAGAATCTATATTACCGCTATATTTAGGGTAAAGCGGTATTTGCTAGCAACTATATACGGCGGCGCAGAATATAGAGAAAGTAGCGGTTATATATAGGAGATAAAGTATATATAGCGGTTACTAGTTTTAGAAATATAGAGTCGGACTTTTATATATTCTAAAGGTTAGTAAAATAAAGTAAAACTATATATAGCTATAGGTTAAAGGGTTATAGGCCTTACTTAATTACTATACCTTTATAAGTATTTTCGGGTACAGAACTATTTTACACTAACCGCTATTAGTTGTTGCTTCGGTTAGAGGTACCGATCGACGTAGCAACCTAGTATAAATTTGCGTGCAATAGCAGTTATAAGGCTAATAATAACTTCCTAATATAGTAGTAAGGTTCTAAAACTCGGATAACGCCTTTTTATAAGTATTAGGAGTAATAAAAGCTCGATAGTAGTGCTATAGTAAAGGAGTTCTATTTTGCTATAATAGAAGGCTCTCCGCAAATTAGGCGCGGAGGCGATAATACGAACGTAATTTTTAGGTAGAAGGTGTTATAAATATTTAGCAGTGGGTATAGTATACAATTTATACAGAGCTATAGGAAATATTAATATATATATAGAGTCTAAGTTTTTTAAAGTTAATATACCTATTAATTTTCTCGCTACGCAGGGTTTCTCGCTACGTAGGGACGCACGTTAGATTATAATATAAGTCTATTCTCTGCGTATTCCGCTGCCTATATCCAGGATATAGAATTTACTTCTAGCCCTTATATATATCGCAGAGGTTGCGTGTATATAACTAAGGCCCGCTAATAATCTAGTATTCGCAGCTATATCTTTAAAGCAGTTAATATAAATACTTGCACAATTAAACTAAAAGCAAGCCGCGAACGCGCTAATAGGAATTTGCTCCGCAGTGGCCGGAGCTGCAGCTGCACCTATGTGTTGCCCTGCAGCGTGCCGCGGCTAAGGAGATTTTATCGTTTAGCTGGCTGTTAAGGCAGCAGGTAACAGGCTTAGCAGAACTTTAGTTATAGCATATTTAGCCGGGAGCTTATCTAGGCCCTAAAGAAGCCGGAATAGGCTTTCCCTTTCTATAGCTGCTTAGGGTATACTACGCTGCTTTAGTTGCTTAGGTTGCTTTAGTAAGTCCCTTAAATACCGCACCTAAACCTATTTTATATAAGGTCTATTATAGCGACTAAAGTATTTTTAGTTATAAACTTTACTAAGGCTATAAAATAAAGTTGCCGCTATAATCTTTTATTATTTTTTTATCTAATAATAACAGGACTAGATTTAGGCTAACTAATATTATATAGCCTAATTTCGGGCCAGAATTCGGCTGGCTAAATTCTAAGTAGCTAGCTAATTTAAAAGGCTAGCTAATCTAAAAGGCTAGCTAACCTTAAAAAGGCCAGCCGAAATCCTAGCAGCTAGCTAGTCTAAAAGGCCAGCCAGTTTAAAAGGCTAGCTAAATTCCTAAAGGCTAGCCGAAATCCTAGCGGCTAGCTAATCTAAAAGGCTAGCTAATTTAAAAGACTCTAGCCGAATTTAGCAGATTTTCTACTAGTAGATTTAATTCTATATAGAAGCTAGAGCTATAGTTAATTAAATACTAAATTAAATCTTTAATATAAATATATATAAACTTTATAAACAGCTCTATCTATAGTTTTTAGTTATTATTATTACTTTCTGCGTCTTCTATATTATTTGCCTAAATAGGTCGCCTTTATTTTTATATTCTATTAAAACTTAGATTTAGATTATTTTTAGGAAAGTTTCCGCTAACAGCAGATCTATTTAATTAACTCTTTCCTTAGAAGCCTTAAGGAACAGATCCTTTTCTTTAGTATTCCCAGTTTCTCTTTTAAAAAATACTAGAATATACTCTCTACTTAGTAGTATTATCTTCGGATCCGCGTTTACTAAAATTAAACACGCTTATAGCGGTAGCAAGAACGGCTAAACCTTTACCTTTGCTTAAGCTTAACTTAGGTCGCGGTTTAAGGTTAAGCTTACTGCCTATATTATAAATAGCGTTGCTAATAGTCTAAGTAGGGATAAATTAATTAGCATTTATATATAATCCTGGACTTACGCAATTAGGGCTAAAAGTAGGCTGCAGGTAATAGACCGAAAGTACTATAGAATATAGAGTATAGGTAAGCCTTACTTTATTAGTCGGCTAGACGGCAGCTAGCAGGGCCGAAATAGGATACTTATTACCTTAGTAGGTCTTAGTATATATAGCCTATATCCGGGATAAGAAGAAAGCCTAGAAAGGAATATAGAGCTACTTTCTATTTTTAAGCCCTAAGTTAGCGTGCCCTGCACTATAAATATATACTATACTATTTCTAGTAAGCTTATTTTTAGAACTAGGCGGCTTCTAAAAATCTAGAATTTTAATATTAGCGGGGACTAGATTTAGAACTGTAATCTAAAAACTAGATTATAATATAAGTCTATTTTCTGCGTATTCCGCTGCCTATATCTAGAATATAGAATTTACTTCTAGCCCTTATATATATTGCAGAGGTTGCGTGTATATAATTAACGCCTGCTAATAATCTAGCATTTACAGCTATATCTTTAAAGCAGTTAATATAAAAACTTATATAGTTAAAGTCGGAGCAAGCTATAAATAAAAATAGTTGGAAGCGATTAAAAACCCTTAATAATAAATTTTAAGAGTTATAGAAAGATTATAGTATAGATATATAGTTTATAGCACGACGTAGTAACGGCTAATTCCGCACCTATACTACTATAAATAAGCAGCCTCTAACTCTAAAAGCTTTTATATATCTCCCTTTTTCTATTATTTTATAGAGAATTAACTTCTATTTTAAAGAAATAATTCTATCCCCTGCTAGTAAAGAAGACAGCGGTATATTTTAACTAGACCGCTAGTAGGCTAGCG